TGGCACCTTTTGTTAGTAGTGGCAATCTTTAAGCAAGATGCTACTGTATTTGAACTTTGAGATGGAAATGTAATGTAATGATCAGCATGGAATGATTTTACAAATTGTAAAATAATGATTTGATATTAATATGTTGATGGGTGAAAAAGATAGAAAGGAATTTTCACCCATCCAACATATTAATATCAAATCATTACTTTACAATTTGCAGCGATTCTACCTCATATACCCGTTTTTCTAGGATTTTTTCGCTCTTGGAGCTTTTAGCAAGGTTCATTGCCCGATTTTTCTTACTTTTGGTGTTGAGATCGTCGTTTTATAAGGTCCTTCACTTAGACCTACTTGTGTCATTTGTATTTGAATTGGGCGTGACTTTATTGAGTTGGAGGTGATACATACTAGTGTGGGGAGGTAAATTTGGGGCTCATGGATCGAATTTTGCGATTTCAAGCATACGTGTGTCTTCGTCGAGTTTGTGGATTCTCGGTTATTATCTCTCCGAGACGCACACATGTGGCCTTTACTCGAAGCCGAAGGACGGGATTTCCTTGTGCTTTCAAATGTCATAGTGTCTGGTTGGCTTATGAATTGATATGCTTTCATTGATCAATAGGTCGGATAACTTTATTTTGCACTCGAGGACTTTGAGATGGTTCTCGTTAATCTCACAGGACGAACACCATTAGACACACGGTGGTACACCACCGTGTAGAGTACGCATTTTCTTTTCATATTTTTTTTTCTTTTACTTGATTTTTGCGTGTTTTTTGTGTTTTCCTTCGTTGTGTATATTCCTTTAGCGTATTTCTTTTTGTGTCATCGCATGAACTTACATGATTATGTGTTTTTCTCATATGTTTTTTAGTCAAGCAATGAGGACATTGATTTGTTTTAAGTGTGAGGGAGGGATTCTCGTGATTATGCATGTTTAGGTGATATTTCTTTCATTTTTTGTGCCTTATTTTTTGTATTTCTCGTGTCGTGGAGTGTTTTTTGTTGTTATTTTTGTGTGTTTGCGTCAACTCTCCCGCATGATGCTCAATGTTTGTTCGAGAGTGGAGAAACTAAGTATTGAGCTGAGATTGTTGATTGGTGTCATTATTAACGTTCATGCTTTATGTACTTGATGATTTGGACGGTGTCCTAAAATTGAATGATGATTCGTTGACATTGGAACTCGCATGTGAATTCACGGAATTGTTTTGTCTCTTGTTTGTTCTCGATTGATTGTCTTGAGGCATGCTTCTCTTATGTTCGATTATCGTTGTAAACGTGTTATCTATGCACTTATGGTATGTCTTGATTGATTTGCGATGATCATTTATCCTTGTGTGTCACTCCCTTCAAAAAAAAAATAATAAAAAAAAAAAAAAAAACAGAAACAAAACAAAAATGAAAAATAAAATGTGAGTTCGCGAGAAAGTGCAGATTAGAACTCCTCTTATCCCGAGCCACTTCGGGGAATGAAATAATGAGCCCAGGAAACCGGTCTAGGAAACTCGAGGAAACCTAGATCATCTCGTCCGGAAACCTTGTTTGGAAAAAGAAACTCACGAAAATGAGTTCGTGAGAGTTGAAAGGATTAGGCTCCGCTTAGCTCTGTTAGTTTTTTAAATAAATCGGGTCAATGAGTACGGAAAAACGGCCTAGGGGACTCGGGGACAAACCCCGAGGGTAAGTAATCATTGTCCTAACGACTCTCATTTGAAAAAAGTAGCTCATTTAAAAAAAAAAAACTAAATAAAGAAAGGGGATTGGCTTATTGGTTTCGTGTTCATCATGTGTATATGTTTAGTGGACCAATTATAGTTTTTGCACTTATATGTAGACGAGGGAGTTTGAATCGAGTATTCATGTGTAGAATAACTCGAGATGGGTTTTTGTTTTGTATAGATTCACTATGTGGGGACCGTGTTTTCAGATTGGATTTTGATTTTAGGGATAACCGGATGAAAATGAGAGTTTCATTTCGCATGCTTGTTAATTTTGGACTTTTCAATTTTTCTTTTCGAGCTACTTGTTGTTTTGTTTGCTTGAGGACAAACAAATAGTGAAGTGTGGGGAGTTGTGTACTGTGTTTTTGTGCTTCTTTTTATCTGTTCTATGTGTGTAGTTGAGTCGATTTTAGGATTGTTTTAGTGTCGACTGGTTCATTTATCGTAGTTCGTGTGTTTTTATGTTTTCCTTTTTATATTTGGCGTACTTTTTCCATGCTTTTGGTGTAATTTTTAGGGTTATTCCAAAGTCGAACGAGAGGAGTCGAACTGAATCCCGAGAGAAGAGCCTTTCTAAAGAATCTCGAGTCATTTTCGAGAGTTTCGAGCCATTTCGTACGAGCTATTTCCGAACCGAGTATTTCAAACCCTTGTCGAGACGTACCTTGCCTAACTTGCACTTGCGCCGTCGCGCCTTAGCCCGCATGCTCGAGGACGCGCATCCAGCATCCGCACTCTCGACCTCACACTCCAAGCCAAGAGCTCGCGGATGCGCTATGCCATCGCCCTGGACGCTCGCAACCTCGTGGAAATCGCCGCAACGTCGAGAGTGCTCTCTACTCCATGCCCGCACCCACGAATATCTGTGCGACGTCGAGAGTGCCCCGCCACCCGACGCCCGCGCTCGCGGAATGGCCCGCGACATCGAGAGCGGTTCCATTCTTCTCGCCCGCGCCCTCGGCCAATGTTGTGACATCGAGAGTGCCCTTTGCCCGACGCCGTCACCCATGCGTTTCCGCGCTGCGCCCGCGCCACCTGTTGCCCGCGACCAGCGGAAGTTTTTAGCGATCTCGCGAGTGTTATAGTAATTGTGCGCGTTTTTAGCGTGTGTTTGTGGTGTAACTATAAATAGACTTGTTGCTTTGTATTTTGAAACAATTTCCTCATTTGCTAAATTTTTTTTCTTAGTTTTTTCCTTTATTCTCTCTCTAAGGGCTCCAAGACCCTATTTTTATTATAATATTTCTGCATCAAGATTACAATTTTTCAACTTATTTCTTCACGTGGATGCACTAGAGATTTGGAGACTTAGTTGAAGGTCCATGATCTCGTGAGTCTTGCTTGTTTTTACTTATTGGATTTATTATAGGGTTAAGATATGAGCGCCTATGAGTCGATTATGCTATCATCCTCGTAGGCTAGGGATTATGTGATATTGTTATTGATTGCATTAGCTTAATTGCGTGAGCGAGAATTGATTGAGAGATCGATTAATTGATCGCGAGTGACAATTGCTTGATTGAATGTTCTCGAACCTATGAGTGACTTCTTCCATCTCGGGTGTAGGGGTGTCTTGTTATTTTTCTCTTTATTTTCCTTTTCCCTTGCATTTGAGGACTTGTTTGCTTTAGTTTAGTTTAAAATTACGTTCTTTAGCTTAATCTAAACCCCAAACTGCGAGTAGAGTGTTTAAGACTTTTATTTTCTTTTCTTGTGTGAGTCAATCGTTGCTTGAATCTGTGTCCGTATAGCCTTCCTTTGAGAACGACCCGAGTTGGGTAGCTCGGTTACCATCTACCCAAAAATACTACAAACAATATACAACAATATATCGTCTCCTACAGTCCATAAATTGATTGGTTATCTAATTCATTGTCTTCTTTTGCCAAAACCTGATAGTTACTGGACATAAAATGTAATTGTTCTGTAATTAAATGACATGTCACCCATTTACATAAGGGAGGTCGTGCTTTGTCGGCAAAAATATGGTGTAATCCTTCCAAGTCGTCGTTGATTGGTTAGTGGTTGCGTGATTTTAAAAACTATTGTTCTACGTTGCCAAAATGAAAAGAATGTGTCCTACTTTGCAAATGGTCACAAGTTACGGGACTGAAAATGCAATCATGCCTTTTCTTATCATTAAACATTCGTATTTTCCAAGTCTAATACATGTCACACCTTAGTTGAAACCTGGCTACATATTTCGTTTGGTGGACAAAGACCGAGGAAGATTAAGACAACCAGATGGAGGATTAAGAGTATTGAGAGGGACACATGGAAGATTTGGAGGACATTCGGGTGGAGGGTTAGGAGTATGGACATGGAATGTAGGAGGAGGATAATCAGGTGGAGAGTTAAATGTAGGGACAAGGACAACAGGAGGATTATGAGGAGCGTCGGGTGGAGGATTAGGACAATCAGGTAGAGTCACTGGGGGCTGCGGTGGGTGAGGCGTACCCGGAGGTTTTGTAGGTCCTTCGGGTGGGGGAACTTCAGGTGGGGGAACTTCGGGGCGGGGAACTTCAGGTGGTCCCTTAGGTGGGACACTTCAGGTGGGGGACTCTCTGGTGGGGGAACTTCAGGTGGTCCCTCAGGTGGAGGAACCTCGGGTGGTTTCCCGCCACAATCTTGTAAGCAAATGCATTTTGGCAACACCCCCTTGCATTTCCCGGTCAGATAACCTTCTTTCTTGCATATTCTGGCACAGTTACTGCCGACAGCGCACACGCCATGGAACAACGTGCTTGGCATCTCGCACAGCACTGCCTCAACATGCATTGCTATTTTGTCATCTGCAAAATGGAAACCATGCATGAAGAGTGCGGTTACGGTAACTTTTGACATGCAATGCATAAATTCAAAGTTGTAGTGTAATCGACGCAACTCTAATTATGTCTTGAAGCTATTGATTATCCCGGTTTGATTAGAAAATATGACAAATCGAAGAAGCAATTTGTGGCTTACCTAAGTTTTGTAGGTACAACGCCAGGACCAATATGAACATGGTTTTGGTCATGCTTGTAATAGAAAATGTAATATTTGCAGCTACGATTATTCTTGTTTTAATTGTTGCTGGTTATATTTCCCAAATAGAGGCTATCCACTGCCGTGACCTCTATTGTTTCACTAGTAGCCTGCTATATCTATACTATTATAAAAGAGCCAATGAATCTGTAAAAATATAATATGCCTACAATACCCTTACTTTTTCATATCTATAATGTCAAATTTGTAATTTAATACTCATCTATACTAATATTTTTAATTATTAACTAATATAATAATGATTTAAATACCTAAGCAAAGAGGAAACTACATTTTTCAATAATATTAAAATTTGAACAAACTTTTAAAATTATCAAAATGTGTTTGTTTGATACTGTACAGAACACCAAAACTATGACATTAGCTTACCAAATATGTCAACTTTAAATATAGTTATCAAATATATTATAAAATATGTCAACTTTAAATAGAGCTATAAGAAATATTTGAACACAATAATAAATTCATTATAAAAAAATAATAATTCTAAGTAATATTAATTTTTATTATACTATAAATCTATAAATTATGTACTATAAAGTTTTAAAAATATTTTTTTATCAAAAAAGTCAATTTTTAACAAGAATAAAAAACTTATAAACTGAAATATAATGATAAAAACTACTCGATAATAGAACAATGATGAACATTAAAAAATTAAATGCGAAGACATATTGCCAAATAAATGAATTTGATTGCTTCAAAAATCTTTTACATTTGATATTTTTATAATAATACAACTGTAATTACAACGATTAGTAAAAAAGATACAAATATAAGATATAGTAAAATTATAAGTATGAATAATGACAAATAAAATTCAGTTAACTAAAAACAATTGAATGTAGTAATCAAATTTATTATAAAATAAATCAACTTTGAACAGAGTTATAGAAAATATTTGAACACAATAATAAATTGATTAGAAAAAATAATAATGGTAACTAACATTAATTTTTATTTTTATTATATTATAAATTATGTACTGTATAGTTTAGTTAAAAGTGTAAGGATTCACTCAGTATTTTTTTCTGACATCCTTTGACGATTGTGCAAGATTTAAACAATGTGAGTTCCAAATAATTTAGATAATTATATGTTGCTCTTTTTGAAAATATGGACTTTCAATTAACATTAAGAGGCATAATGAGTATAAAAATATTTTTAAAGAAAATATATTAAAAATAAGTAAAAGTATCTAGCCATACTTTAAGAGTATTTATATGTATATATTTGGAATTAGTACAATATAAAAAAGTAATTAAAACTAAAAATTTATCCTAAAACGACATTGTTTTATGAATGAGACTGTATCAACTATTTTAGTTTTTATTTAAGTATTCTGAACGATGATCTGGATTGACTATTAGGATTTTTTTACAGGCTTGATAAAATCATAGAGAATAACGTTACATTATATGACATAGTTAAAATTTTGTTAAAGTTTATATTTGTGTGTGTGTGTGTGTATATATATATATATAT